CCCCCAAAACCCCAAAACCCCAAAACCCCACTGGTAGAGGGAGTTATTGAATTAGTTTGCATAGAGTTCAAACAAGACACTTTCAATGCCTTTATCTGAGTCTTCTTTGGGCTTCTGGCTTCTAATTGCGGCCACGATTTCTTCAACATCCTTTATTACTAGTTGTTTCTTGTTCTGGTAGCAGTACTCTGAGATCTGCTGTAACTTTCCTTTTTGGTATCCGTTTAACTGGTTGTCATTGTTTTTGATCATGGGATCTACCAAGAAAACGAGTTTGTCTCCATATTCAAGGAATGAAGTGTAGCCCAGGTCGTAATGAGGGACATGAAATTCTGGCAATGGAAGATCTGCTCTAATATGAGCATCAGTAATAGCCTGCTCAATGTCTCTTCCTTTGTAAGAGATAATTTCTTTTCTTCTCTTTTTATATAGTTCATCATCGTACTTTAGAGATTGTTCTCTGCAGAGCTGCTGAAGTTCAGAAAAATCTCTTCTTTTGAGTAATCCTGCAGATCGAAGCTCATTAAAAACTTGATTGAGAAGAATAGTATCAGACTTCAAGATGGATTGCTTTGAGTTATTAAGAATCTCCATTGATTTTGTAAACAAATCTTCATCGTAATATTTCATATACACAAGTCCCCATAACATTGGTGGGATCATAAACACATGGTCTTCAGAAATCTGAGAAGGAAGTAGATTTATTAAGTTTCCAATGTTGTAATCAAAGTTCTCAATATTTTCATGATTCACATTTAGGAATGCCATACTTCAGAAAATCTGGCCGATAGATAGCTCTTGCTTAATATCTTTTGAACTGAGAATTTTAGAGAATGTAGTGCTCAAAGTATCCTCAAAGAATTTATTGTATTCTGTAAGTCCACTCATTGCCATCGCTTGCATAATGTATCCAATGTCTTCAGGTGTTACTAAATTATGAGCAAATGGAATTAAAGATAGGATTGCTCCATCAAAGAACTCTTTGTCTGTAAACCCAACATTAGCCAAAGCATAAAGAGTCATAGGCAAGTACTGAGCCTGAATTTCCTCCTTATTTTCTAAAGCCATTTTAATGAGCTTGTCGAAGTTTCTATGCTTAATAGACTTAACTTTTGCATATTCATGTCTTGGATAAATAATGGAGGACACATCAGCATTGTAATTCACAATCTCATTGCTTGTGTAGAATTTCGACACGGCCCAACAAGTTTTCATGACATCAGGAAACACATAATCTTCTCTGAGGATCACTGAGTTTGCAATTTTGTCACTCATTAACTCGAATATGTCATTCTGGGAGAACTGTCGAGCATTAGAGTATCAATAAAGAATTTCAGCTAGATCATTTACTTTAAAAGGTAAGGAAACATCTTCTAGGGCGGATATTTTATGCAAAATATATGGAGCTAAAGCATTCATCACTACTTGTGATCTTAACTCTAGATCACTTAAAGGCCTTGGGTTATTCAAAATTTCTTCACTCTGATCACAAATTCTTTCAATAAAATGATTTTTCTCTTGACAAAGGAGTGAATTTAATTCTAGAATATCTTTGAAATCCCAGGTTTCAAGGTCATCTAGCCTACCATCTTGAGCAAGCTGAATCAGTCGATCTTGGACAACTGAAATAACTTCTGTGTCAATATCATTCATTGTAAGAAGGTATGACATAAATTTAGAGATAGAGTAAGCATCCATTTCAGGAGCAATTTCTTGGACTCTTAGCTTCATGGCTTCTCTGATTTTCTTTTCTCCTGGCACGTTTCTCCATTTTAGGTTTCTTAATCCTTTCGATAGAAATGCTATATGATGATGGTTGAGCTTGGGACATCTAAGAGCAACTTCCTCTGTATAATTTTCAAGCCACTTAGGAAGATTGATGGGTTTTCTAGAAGATTTATGAATTTTTCCAAGAGCATAAATATTATCAACCAAATTCTTATCGTCCAATGAAGATGCCTTCCTATTGATAAGCTTTAGCATGGTCTTATATTCAGCTTGTACAACCATTAAATCTCTTTGCTCTTTGTTCACTATAACATCTTCAGATTTAGAAATCCTGTGAATAATAGCAGAGGCAAATTCTGGCATCTCTGAAATTGATTCTCCAAGTTTGAAAATTCTAAATGCTTGACGGACATGCCTAGCATTGTGCTTCATGTAGTTCAAGTTTTCATGAAGAGTAAGTTCTTTGAGCTCTGCTTTCTTCCCTTTCTTAACTTTTCTATGAATATCTAACTCTCTGTATTGCTCGACAAGAGATGTTTTGTATTCCTCGATTTCTCTAAAGATAGGAGCAAATTTACCTAGCAAGTCTCTGTCGGTGACTTTCAGAAGGTAAGCCATTGAAATGATATCCTAGAGGATTTTCTTCATGCTCTATGAATATTAGAAATATCAGTCGTACCTATTTCCATTATTTCATCACCATTATCGTCTTCTATGAGCATCTGCTCGCCATCACTTTCTTCTCTGGATTCTAAATATTTTTGTAAAACTCTATTATGCTTTCTGTCTTTTAAAAATGACTTTATTCTCAAATTCTTCAACTCTTTTGTCTTTTTCTCAAAATTTTGATAAGGAGTTGGCTCTGATGTAAGGGATTTCTTGTATTCTATAAAATCAGGACTCAATCTTACCTTCATATTTCTGTCGGTCCTCTTCATATTTTGGGAATAACTCCTGCTCTTTTTCCTCAATCTTGGCTTCATCAGGATCTCGGCCTGCTTGCATTAATTTAATTTTCTCTCCATCAAGGATTTCATATTTGAGTTTTTCTTGGTGATAGAGCCTTCTGTTATCTACAAAGTCCTTTAATTGATGCTTGTAGTGATCTTGTTCATTAGCTGTGTCTTCTAGGTAACCTCTTGTGCCATACAGGGCTTCATAGTTATCAATTAGATTCTCATACTTTAAGGATTCTTTCTTGAGAGCCACTAAACGCTCCCTTTGATAATGAAGTTCATGCTTCCAAATTTTGTACTCCTGAACTCTTCTAAAATTCTCAAGAACTTCAGCTGTATGGTCTAGCAAGAAGATTTTAGATTTGAGGGTCTTTGTGTTTTGGCGTTCGACCTCATCAATAATTGTTGACATTGCTTTCCTCAGGTTTTTATTACTCTCAACTACGATTTCATCAACTGGTCTGAAATAGGTATGACTCCTGGCTGCTTTCCGCTTTCTCATTGATTCAGAGAAGGTAAGGGTCTCAGGATCTAAACATTATTCCCAGTATGTACCATCTTGTGTAAGTGTTTTGGTTGTTTTCAGAGACTCTTGTCTGAACTTTAGCTCTTTGTCAAAATAATTCTATTAAAAGTTATTTTTAAGCACTCAATAACTTACATCTCGGAAATTGCTAGTGTTAGTTAGATCTTTATGGGTATAACTAATTCTTTGTCTGACAGTTCTGAGACGCTTGGATTCATTCAAGGCAAACCCTCTAGTTTGGAAACAATGGATCCTTCAATTAGCTCTCTTCCAAAGATTAAGCATGTTTACGGTTATTATTAATTTATCAACCGCAACTAAACCTGGGGTTTTGGGGTTTTGGGGTTTTGGGGTTTTGGGG